TACTCAGAAACATTCTTAGCTTCCCGGGAAGCATACAGTGCAAGCAGCTGATTAAGCGCTCAAACACTAACAAACTGACAAGATCTTTCGCTGTCTATAGCCGGGTACCCCACCTGGGTGAAGTGAGGAAAATACGTGTAAAGTGCCTTTCCCAAGGACACAACGTCGGGCCCTTGACGGGATTCGAACCCACGACCTTACGGTTGTCCGAGAGCCTAACCACTAGGCCACCGACGCCACAATATGCTCACTAGGGGGGGGGGGAATATAGGGCACTGCACGGTGGTGACCGACAGTGGCATGGTTGTGAAACTGTTCTGTACTGATGTAGTATTGTGCATTTATGTATGTATATGTGTAAGTTTTTATGCATGTATTTATGTCTGTACGTATTTATAATTATGTATTAATGTATGTATGATTGCCATTGTAAATCAAAGTGCCCCTCTGGGACAAATAAAAGTGTAGTTTAATATTGTTAGTATTTTGTTTATTTATTTATGAGTTCACCGATATTTGAGATGATAATATGAACACTCAGCATATTCCCGCCGAAGACAGCCGCGCCAATCAAACAATAAAGGAAGAAATCGTGCAAGATTGTCCGCCACTTGATGCTACATCATCATGAAGAGGTGATCAGGGACGGACACATCCACAAACATACGGTCGCTTTGAAGGACAAGCGGGCGTACCCAGATTTCGGGGTTTCCAGAAATCTTGACCTACACCAAAAGTGGACGTTGCCCTAAGTATAGGAGAAGTTTGGTTTCATTGGTGTGTGTATTTGTTTGGTATAGAGAAAACTCTCCTTGTCTTTTAAAGAAACTAAACAAGATTTCAAAAACTTTACCTTCGATTTTCTCAAAAACAGCATTTTTCGGGATAGCCTCCTTGCGCTTAAAAAAAGTGACCACATGTGAGCATCCTCAGAATAATGAAATGAAAGAAATCCGCATTTTCTTTGGCCGATGGGCAATTCTTTAAAAAAATTTCTTGTGTGTTTTATTATTTTTTTAGGTGCAACAGCTGTGATGTCCATTTAAAAAGACATGTCCGTGTGGATTTTACTGAGAAACATTGATTAAAGTAACACAAAAATGTACATTTTCAGTTTCTAGGGACTCTCAGTCTCAGGCTCTGGAAATTTCCACACTAATGTTACCTCTGAAACCAGGCGACCCTGACCTCCTTCAATTGTAAATATTTCTGGCTGGCCAGAAAAACGCCTCAAGCAAGCATAGAATATTTGTTAATCCAGAGACCAACTGAGGAGTCGGTGGCCTAGTGTGGTTAGACTACGGTAGTCGTGAGGTTGCAGGTTCGGGGGTTCGAGCCTCTGCTCGGTCTGACGTAGTGTTCTTATTTGTTTTTGTTTTTATAGGGGTTTTACGGCGCTCGCAACCGCATAAGGTCATATGAGCGCCAGAAGATTAGAGGTGTTACTTACAGGAAAAGGAAGTAACAAACATAAAAAGAAGAAGGGGAGATAAGGACGATAGATGTTCGATAGGAAAGAAGGAGCAAACCACACCAGAGCACCCGCCAACCACGTCTTAGGAAAGACACTTTATACGTATGTGTCGTTTGGCTCGGTCCTTTCGGAGATGGACGTTATAAATTCTGAGGTCCCGCCTCTTGACTAACCTCATAGTGTTGATGGGGACGTTAAACGCATACCATTTCACCATTTTCACCACAGCCCAACTGTTATCTAGTCAGCTGATCAACTCTTTTAAAACGCGCTGAGGCTGCTCTTTGTAAATAAAAACAAACATCATTTGTACAGCAAAAATCCCCGCTCAAAGGCAAGCTCTAGATCTATATGCACTTAAAAATCTGTACATTTTTACCCCAGCCGACCTGAAAACCCGGGAAGAAAACAACGCTAGGATTTCTAACTACTTTCAACAATAGGAAATGTCCAAGTCTAAATCTTATTAGTTACGTCACAAGTTTTTGAACTAGAAGAGATTTTCCAAATAACTGATTACTCAGACAAAGAAAGCAGATTTGACAAAACAAAACAAATCGGGCCAAGTCAGCAGACAAATACATGTAGTATTGACGAAAGCAAAGTTTATTTCGCTGTATTTGTTCATTCGATCGGACATTAAAATGTATCAGGTGAAATTGAACATTGCAGACAAATATAAAAGATGCACTATAATTATATGGTAGCTTTAAAGGACAAGCAGGCTCACCCAGATTTTGGGGTTTTAACAATTTTATTCTTACTAACAGCAAAAGGGGATATTGCCCTACCTATGGCAGAAATTTGGTTTCTTGCATATTTGTCTGGTTATAGAGAAAACTCTCCTTGTCCTTTAAATAAACTGAACAGAGGGCAAAAACTTTCCCTTCGATTTATTCCAAACACCATTGTTGGGATAGCCCCCAAATTGTGCTTAAAAGCGAACATATTATCATAAAAATGAGTTATAAGATAAGATAAGATAAGATAAGATAAGATAAGATACATTAAGATATGTTAAGACAATACTTTCTATTCCCAGTGAGAAATTCTTCCAGGCTGTAAAGGAAGGGACACATGTAGATATACATAGAATTTAGAAATAAA